ATTCAGCTAAGTATTACTAAGAAGTATTTAATGAATAATTTAGTTAGTATTAATAAAATCTCTTACAAGCTGGTGTCTCTATAAACGATACACGATAGCCAAACAGATTCCCAGATAGGTGTACGGATCCGGTAACAGTTGTGTCAATGAATATTTAAGTAGTACATGGACATCGGAGTGTTTTTATAGCAGGCATCTAGTAAAACAAAATTTTAAATATTTTAATATAATATTTGAAAAATTTTAATTTTCTCTTTTCATTACTTCAAGATAAGCGAATTAGTTAGTCTTTTTTTTTATCCCCAAGCAGAATAATATGGTTCTAAAATAGTGAGAACGTATCTTTTGTCAAATACCATAAACATGTTGTTATAAATCAGTGTTAAATAAGTGTTAAATTTTAGCAATAAAATCAACAAAGTTAGTGGTTACTATTTGAAAACAACAGGCAGTTTTTGCGACCTATGTGAATAACATAGTGGCAAAAGTTAAATTAAAATGAAATCTGTATTTTACCCAGTAAGATATATTTCAGAAGTAGTTTATAACTATATAATTCAGCAAAATTTCTTAATCATATTTAGAGATAATATGAATAATAATTACAGTTACTCATATGAGAAAATTAATTTAAGTGAAAAGATAATTACTCAAATCTGTAGTAAACTAGAATTAAACACAAAAAATCAAAACAATTCCAGGATCCTTTTTATCTTAATTCTTCAAACGTCAGATGCGTAATTAATAAGAATTTTAAAATCAAAAGCATTATACTTAAATAATCCCGTTGTAAAAAGGGATTATTAATTGTTCAAAAACAGATTAAAAATAAATATTTTTCAAAACTGGTTTAACGTTAAATTACGTGATGCAAACTCCAATATATGTATATTCTTTCCCACACAACATATACAGATAAAAAATACCGAGTTACTAAAAGCATTTACTGTTCATGAAAGTAAGTTACTAGAAACGCAAAGACCATTATGGGAGGAATGAATTGGTTTCAACGTCGGCTTTACTTAAAATCCCCGCAAATCCGTTTCAAAACTTTACTTCTCAGTCGGCTAAAAAAAAAAAAAAAAAAAAAAAAAAAGATTTTATGTTCCACTTTCTGTTTTATCTAGACTTCGAGTTTTATGTTTCTAGTATTAAAATATTATGAGTCTATTTATTATTTTTGTTTGCAAAAGGAAATTGTTCTCATTCTGCGAAGAATGAATGTAATCCTTTTATTATATATTAAAAAGAAATGATTTACTTCTCTTCTTATCATTTACGAAACATGTTGAAAATTCAATTCTTTTTTTTATTATTTTTGGTATGAAACTTTTCATTTCAACAAACCTCTTTGAATCTGTAAATTTCTTAATATTCTTATACTAGACGTACGCTACGAGGGGGGGGGGAAACAGTTCTATAACTTCCGTTCTACTGGGCCAATTGACGAAATTCAAGTTGTGTTTTTCATGTCTCAGAAACGCGATTAAGAACATATATTACATTTATATATGGCATTGTTTTAATATAGGTATTTTGACACAAAATCGGATTTTCTCTGAAATGACATGACATTTTTTTCCATAATTAGGTTTTGCGACTCAAAGTATGCCAAACTGCCAAGTTTTGTTAAAACCGCATGAGCAGTTTTTAAAAAATTAGGTCTCAAAATTTTAGGTCCTCAGTGTAACAGAATTTGGTATATATTTATTAATCTCTTTTTTCATCAAACTTATTTGATTCTTCCTTTCAAATTTCGAAATTGAGGTTCATTCCAAAAAAAAAAAAAAAAATTCGTCCATTTTTATGACTAAAAATAAGTCATAAAAAATGGACGAATTTTTTTTACGAATTTTTATAAATTTTTCGAAAAACATTTTTAATTATAATGGATAAAATTTTTACTACCGTCTTAAAGTAGATGTATTTCTAAATATAATTGCAAAAGATTAAGAGTTTTTTATTCAATTTTCAGAATATATACGTGAAGTTATATACTGGCGCGTTTTGAAATTTCGCATATTTGTTGAAAGCGATACTAACATCAAATATGGTTTAGGCACTTTGTTAAAATTATTCGAAAATAGGAACGATGTGACATTTTTTCCGCTCATGCGCAATGTAAAAAGGGAAAGGAAAATATGCAGCCATAATATTAAGAAGTTCGCAAAGTGAATTATTCTTGGATCAAACTGAAAAAAATGCGCAAAGATAAAAGTTTTGGGTGTACTCCAACTGCGCGAATGAAAATCCCTCCCTCGTCTTGGTATAGTGCAACTGCGAATAAAATTTTTTCTCCCCGTTGCCTACACGGTTACAATTTTACTTTTCGAAGCCAATTGTAGCCAAGAGGAAAATAAAAATAAAGAAATAGAATTACAAATCACAATCACAAGAACAAGTAAAGAATCTTTAACAAGCAGACTAATTTAAACTAACATAGATAATTTAAAAACTAACATAACATAGATAATTTAAAACTAACATAGAATAAGGAGATTAGCATACTTGAATAACAGTAAAAATGCGAGAGCTAACAAAGAAAATAAAAGGTATCAGTAAACATACATATTAGCATTACAAACATCTTTCATTAATTACAATATTACAGCAAGGAATATTATAATAATATCATAAATTAAATAAAGCATACAAATTGTATTTTTTTATAAAATGACATCAATAATAGTCATGATGTCTGAACTAGATTGGAAAATTTAGTATAGCTCACTGGCGTGCAAAAGATTATTCCGTATCAAATTGTGCTAGAAATATTTTTTGTTAATTAAAGTAATCAAGTAAATGTTTGCAGAAATTAATAATTAAATTAAAAAAAAGCTTAGCATGAAATCTATTATAACAACATTAGTATACATTTGGAACTCTGACGTATAAATAGTAAATAAATTCAAATTATGATGATAAGAAGTTTTTTCTAAAATTTATCTAGAAGAAAGAATTAGATAAACAATACTGCAAATTAATATAATTAATCAGACCTCTCAATAAATAAAAGCTTACTTTTTTAATTTAAAATTTTCATGCAAAAGTTTATGTGATATGCTTGGAAATATCTGAATAACATTAGCGGGTCGTTTTAATTTACACTTTTTACTTCCTTGTAAATGAAGTATTGTAATCACGAAAAATTTTGGGTACTATATTTCAACGAAAATATTTATTTTGACCGCTATCGAATGCAATTTAACGATGTTTTTGCGTCACATCTGTGCGTAAGGACAGAATAAAAGACTCTGTTTCCCCAAACGAATTATAAAACTGATTTAAAATGGATTCAGAAGAGATTTTCCCTTGTGTCTTGTACGAGTACATGTTTCAAAATTTTTCTTACTTTATTTATTTAGTATTATGCAGCTGTTGGAATTGTTTAAATTTTTCCTTCCTTTTGGAACTTTCAAAATAATAAATATTAACAATGTGTTCATGTACACTTATTGCTCTTTTTTCAGCTGCTAAATTTAAGAGGCGACAGGTGTACCTCATAATATGCAGATCTAATTTTTTTTTTTTTTTTTTTTTTTTTTTTTTTTTTTCTTTTTTTTTTTAATGCCTGCAACACCAGTCTTCAAGCCTACAGTGATGCATTATGGGCACCAAGCGCTAAGCAATTATCTAGAGGAATTTCATTTTCTAGTTTTAATAATTAGCTGTGCTATATTAAAGCCTGTCGAACGTCCTTCTAAAGAGAGCACAGAAAGTAAACTACATTCAATTTCTAAAGACAATGAATTCAAAAAAGAAACATTTGGATACAGTTTTGCCCTAAAGAGAGCACAGAAAGTAAACTACAAGCAGTTTCTAAAGACAGTGGATTCAAAAAAGAAACAACAGTTTTGAATCGGTATTATTGCTTCCATATACGTAGAAAGGTAGAATGGAACTGTTTTAATGCAATCAGTAACGGAAGGTTTATTTTTCATACTCATCTGTTTAACAACTGCGGAATTTTGTTCCTTGCACTACCTAGAATTACACCAACTTCAGAAGTGACAACAAGAAGTGTTTGCGAAAGAAATATTTTTGAAGAAACGAAAAATGATCCTTGTTCTTTGACGGGCGAAATTTATGCAAAATTGGGTAAGATGTAATGAGTCTTATATTACAGTGACAAGCTGAATAAATTAAAATAAAGTTTCTGCTTATTTTGCGAAAAAATATTTGTTCTGCAACTGAAAGAACTTATTTTCTTTAACCCTTTCTGGCACGCTACCTTTTAAAGTTGGTGTTTTGATTTAAAAAAAAGGGGGTAGGCAGTCTAATTAAGGCTTAGAGGAGTACACAAGTAAAATTTTGTGAAGATAGCACTTATCTTTTAATTCTGTGGGTGTGCCCAAAGTGGGCACACTGATTGAATAGAGCTTCGAAAAGAGTGCTGAAACGAGCATTGTTGTCAATGAACTGACCGATGAGATGCGGAGAAACAAAGAATACAGACTCTCAGGTGTCCTAGATTATCGGTGAGCCCGTTCTGGGCACACATAGGGTTTGCCGTTTGATTTTAGGCAAGATTTCAAGGTAAAAATTTAAACCTAACATAGAATAAGGAGATTAGCATACAGCCAAAAAAAAATAACATAGAAATTTCTTTTATACCCTAAAAAAATCTGGAAGATTTCTTTGAAAAATGAGGCTCTTAAAAAACTAAACATGGCTAAAATATACGGACTGGTTTGTGTTGAGCTGCCATCTACTATAAATAAAGAAGGTTCAGAGTAACCTATAAATCCTTTTTCATTTAACTTTTCTGTGGGTACAGAAGGAAATTTTTAGGTGTGTCCACACTGGACACACTGTGGCGCAAAGGGTTAATACACTAACATAATTTCCAAAGTAGTGCTATAAATACAACCTTAATGATACAAGTAACTCATTGCGACTTTCGAAAAGACGCAATTACTCTATTTAATTAAACTTTGAACATTGTCAAAAACACGTTTTAAAAGATTAACATACCATCATTCGGTCTTCTTTCAACTTACCTCTATGGTTACACAGTTTATGGTTCCTTTGCAAGATTTCCCCTTCATTACGCAATAAAGCCAGCTTGTACACGTTGCTTAATTTACTTCTGTATGAGTTGCTGATTTGCATAGGAAGGGGGTCATTCTCTTCTTCTTCTGCAGTTATCGGGTGATAGAAATCCAGAGGCTTCTGAATCGACATATATCTGTACAAAATTTACATGTAAATTAGTCAAGATATAAATTTAGTGTAGGAACCTATTACTAATGGACCACATTTACTTGACCCATTAAGAGAAAAATTTAACCACCAATGGCACGCATGTCTTACAAATTGAATTCAAAAGAAAACACAGCATAAAAGAGCTAAGCTCCTAGTTATAGGGCAGAGGGGTATAAATTGCTTTTTTGTGTTAAGAAAGCAAATTAATAGAGAACAATTTAATTTTTAATAATTCAAAGTTGTTGGAGATTAGATAATCTTCATCTTATTAACTAAAAATTAAATAAATGTGAGTACTCGCATTAATGAGATACATGAGCTTGACGATTCTTGCATAGCTGTTCAATATTTCAATGCATTCTGGTAAGAAGCAGCATAGTCATAGTGCTTTCCTCTTTCGTGTCTAAGACTAGAATGAGAAGTTCATAGGTAGGGTAATCGTAATAAAACTTCATAAAATGTCATTTTTGGAAGAAAATGGGATACAGATTGCTATGTGTAATTTCCATACTCTCAGATATTCAGGTATAGCATGGTATATACAGCTAATTTGAGTTTTAATTTTTGCCGTCTCCGAAAATCTAGGATGACCAGTTGTAGTCCGCGAAACATATTATAAGAGAAAAGGAAATTAAGGTATAGCCTCAGTTCATTTATTACATTCTTTTTATCGATTATCGATGTCATAGAAGTCAGTAGGTCTCTTCTTTCCCCCCCAGAATGGAATAAAAAGTATGCTTTTACGTTGATACATGTATAGTATATGTAAGCGTATTTGCATTGGCACAATACTGTAATCCAATATTCCTAAACCAGGGAAGGAATTTCCATAGTTTCAAAGGGGGGGGTGAATGCAGTCAGTCTTATTACATTACATTGTTAAGTATTTAGTTTCAGTTTATAAATTTATCAACTTTTGTTGCTTTAATTTATAGAACACATTAGAAAATAACCTAAAGTAAATGTGTATAAAATTTCAAGTTTTAGAAAAGAAAGGAGTATGATCTTCTAACAATAATGAAAGGATTGCACGAGGCAAAAAAAAAAGGTTGAGAAACCCTGCTGTGATTGATAATCTACTTGTAAACTCTTAAATTAAATAATTAAATATTTGTCTCCCCCCAAATGGAAAATTTTTGCGGATGCTCGAGTTCGGGAATAATTTTAAAAAATTTTAAAAATTCTAATTTCTTGTGGTTTATAAAATACCATCGTTATATGACCAACATTATCAAAATTGTTGAAAGTCTTTCGGCTAAAATTTGTATCAACTGGTTGAAACTTCTAACATTGCTCTTTGAGTGCTTTTGGATGATAATTCGTAAAAGGGTTTGCTTGCCACCTTGACATTCCAAGAATTCAGGGAAGCCTCGGTTTTACTGTCAGCATTAACATGACATAGTTTTCAAGGTCTTTGCTACAATGGGGATAAATAAATGCACTGCTAGTTTTTAACCGGGGGGGGGTGAAAATGCACTACCAAAGGTTGCTATTAGTAGAGCCAATTTTTTGGTAGAGCTTACATAGTATTTGTTTTTAGAAAATTACGCTGTTTCTCATTCTCAGCTAAGAATTTTGAATCCAGCAGGGAAAAATTGCGAAGGTGTCATTCGCAATCCAGCAAAAGGCAAATTTCGAAAATGTCTTCTTATTCTTGTGGAAATCAAAAACCTTTACAGCAAACATAAATCAAAACTCATCCGTTTGGTTGCTATGCACTTGTTTAGCTTTCCAAAAAAGTGATAAAACATAGAAAGGAATTGTAATATTATATTTTTTCTTTAATCCGCTGTATTTATTACGAAAGTTTCAAAAAGTAAAATGCGTACGCAAAAATCACATGACTAAAAAGAAATAGCGATTTAATCTTTGTAGGAAGATTTCAGTTTAGTAGTGGAAATAGTTATTAGCTAAGCAATTATTTTGAGAATTAATCTTCCAGAAATTAAACAACGTAAAATATCCTAGCTAAACAGTAGAAAAAAATCGCTATGGTAAATTATTAAAAATTGAAGATATCAGCCCTTCTTTAATAAAGCAAAGACTTAATCACTGAATAAGCATTTATCCATTTATTTTACTGGATCGCCTGCGCTAAAGGCTTGCAGAAAAGACATTCTCCAACATTACTTTCTGTTTTCTTACTGTATCTGATCTAAGAAATAAAAACAATAAACACATCGAAGTATTTCCTTTAGCATTATAATATAACATCAGAGGGAGAAATTATGGTTTTACTGCTTTATTACTTTTTAAAAATGAATGGATGTATTTATAATAAATAATTTCAGAGCATTAATTCTTTCGAATTTTTAAGTCTACTCAATATTTTCAAAGAAAGATACGGCACTTGTATACAGAAGTCAATAATATTACGGTTTCATTAAAAATATCTCATAATCTTATATTACTGTTACTATGGTATTTTGGTTACGATTACTATGGCAATCGTTAGAACGTTTGCATATTTATATTTAGAAGCGCGTGAAACGTAACTTAAAACCTGAATAGTTGAAACCTCAATTAAACTTAAATCTATTTCAGGTCTTTTCTCTACACACGTGTTTTGTATTTTTCACTAATTTGTACTTTATTAAATAACAATTTTTACGTAGATAGTCAAGAACCTCTCATTGAAAACAGGTAAAAAAAAAAAAAAAAAAAAAAAAAAAAAACTGAAAGGTTTCAGATTTTAAATTACGACTGAAGGGGAGTTTTTTAACATTTTATCTGTTACTTCTATTTATTAAATATCACGTTCTTCGCTTTTAAACCATAAAATTCAGTTCAAGAACAATATCAGAAAATAGTTTTAAATTGAGCATATCTTTAGAGCTTCCAATATAGTCTCGCGCGCTGGAGATGATAATGTTTTTTTTCTGTACAACGTTGCCATTTGCTCGCTTTGAAATTCTTGAGTTTGTGAATCAAAAATTCGTTCAAGTTTTACAAAATACGAAATCGATAATAAAAGAAATTCCAAATTTGGGTTTTTAAATGCCTATATTCGCAGTAGGATTACGTCTTTCAAAATTCGATGTGCCGTTGTTTTATCACAATGCGAGAAATAGACATACATTTATGCAGATTTTTCATTACTTAATTTCTTCAAATATAATGCAGGACTCTTAACATTTGGTGGCAACAGTTTGAAAAGTGATATGGACATTTATAGTGAACCAACACAAAACGAAAACAATAGTCCAAATTTTAGCCTTTTTGGACTAAAAATAAAATAAGATAAACGTTAAGTCTCTGTTAAAAGCACACTTATTAGAAGACTCTTTCAATACACCATATCAACAAAATTCCTTATTCGGAATTGAGTTTCGCAACCGTTAGTCATAATTCTAATCGCGAAAGCGTTTTAAATGACGCTGATATTCATGTCTTGCGATTTTTAAATTTAATAAAAGTCTGTATTGTAAAATTACGAAAGTTATATTCATTATAAAATATAAAATACAGAACGTTTGACTCACGTACGACGATATTGCATTTCATATTTTTTTTTAGCCCAAAGGGACGTTAGCCGAGAAGGGCTATTGGTCCCGGAACAGTCATCAAATTTTGAATAACGTATTCCCCCACCCGAATACGGTGGGACCTGGAAACCCGAAACTTTGAATGTTTTATTATCCGTTTCATATTTTGTAAAACGTTAAAAAATTTTTGATAAAAAAACTAGCAGTGGCAACACTGTACGAATAAAATACTTTTATCTCCAGCGCGCTGGACTGTCTATTGGAAATTCTAAAGATATGCTATTTTTAAAAATTTGTAGTCCAAATGCTCTAGAGACCTGCATGTGCGTGAAAATAAAATAACGCCCTTTGGGCATAATTATTATTTTTTTAGAAAAATGTGGCAGGCTTCAGTAGTGGATACAAAGGATAATCACTGAATGGCATTTAAAAGGAAAAATTCAACTTTTGTCTTATTTATTTTTCAACGAATTTGTCTTATTTATTTTTCAACCGATCACTTAATACAAATTGAAAAACTTCAAATTTCAAAATCAAATATCTCTGTTAATTTTTGTCTATTACTTTTTATAATAAATAAATAAAAAAAAAAAATTCTAGACGTAAGTATACGACCGGACGAGCATACAATAAGTCTGATTTCGTAATTTTTACAAAACAGATTAAATTTGAAAATGCAAAATCGTAAATATTTCCTCCATTTAAAACATTCTTGATTGGAAATATATGTCCACGATCAGTCATTGCTAAAATGACTAGTGAACACAGTGTATATACACGAATCATAATTATGCAACAGATTTTTAACAAATGATTGATATAAATTGTAATTTAAAATTTGTTTATGTGTGAGACGGCAGTTTGCTCATATTAACTGAAATCTGAATCTATGAATTCCTGAATAGAAGCATAATTAATTCCGCGGGAAGATTCTTCTAATAAAAGCTCAATGTAAAAATACCAAACAGTGCAGTTTTTAATAATTACAGGCCTTAATTTCTAAAATTGATTTGCCGGATGGCTTATGTTTACTTTCTCGCAAAATTTGTTATCACAAACAAAAGATGTGATGAAAGATAAACAAAAATAAGCGAACAAAATAATTAGTAATTGAAATTTTAATAACATAAAAAACTAAACAAATTAACTAATGAATAATTAACTATTACAATTAAATTAGCATTAAACAGTTAAGTAATAAATTTGAGTGGAATGAAAACTTCAATCAAAAATTAAGAAGTGACGGTTGAATTTAAGCACTGAACAATTAACGAATTAAAGAAAATTAAAAATGTATAACTTACCTTGGATTAAAAGCTGGACCCAACAATTGCATAAGCTGCAAGGGAGATTGTCTTTTACACGGAACATGCACCGGGTCTTCTGAATTCTCCAGATTTGTTATATTATATGATGCAATCGTTTCATACTGAACAGCAGAGCTACTGCTATCCAAATATTTAGCTAAACATACAAGACCTAAAACTGCGGCGACTAGCATAACAAAACCTAATACACTGTTGATGACGTTCATTTATAGAAACTACTATCAACTGATACCAGCTCCACTTACTCAAAAATAGAAATAACTAAAATAAGTTCTACAAAAAACGAGAGTAGCAACTACAGCAGCAATTTATGGATATTTCATTGTAGCTGGCCTGGTACATTTCAGAAAGCAAACTCACGCCGATTAGAGCTTGCTACCAAAGAGAGTTACTACTGGAATGTTTTGCCTAGATTCTTCAACTAGATAAGTCACGCGCATGCCTACATTGTGATTCATTTGACTTGAGGGGAAAGGGGAAAACAATCATTTCCAGCACAGGTGAGCTTTACTGAAGAATTTGCAGGGAGATCCCTATAAATTCTTTGTTGTAGGTGCGGCCAGTGAACAACACAACACTCATAGCCACAATGATTAACAGATTCCAGCACAAAGTGAATTTCCAAGTCCATTCACATACAGCAGCCTCTAGCCTTACCATGGTTTACGCTTCAAGCATGCGCAATAGGCATATTTTCAGCATGGTAGCCTTCGTCGCTTGGCCAAGAACATCTATGTATGTTTGGCTTGGCGATGAATTCACAATTCAGTCTTCAGCGATGCGCAAGTGAATTTCTGGAGAATACGTGATATTTGTTCACTTTGAGCCCAATTATGCGAGCAGTTATTTACTGGGGCCTTAAGTAAAGCGTATGGAGTGAGCTTTGTGCCCAAATACGCGAGAATTTATTTACTGGGGACTTGAAATACGTATGGGGAATTAACCGTTACTCTTTTTTCACTCGTGTTGATAAACTGCTTAAATTAATGCTGTAGAATACCGTGGGATTATCTTACATTTATTTATAAATGTATTTTTGTTTGATATTTCATCTTGTGTTTACTGTCATCACAAAATTACTGTTCAAATTCATGCTTTCCACAAAAGCATGTCTTATCCTAGGCAAATAATTCATGAGAGATTAACATAATTAATTTTATCTCCTTTTAGAAATTTGTTTTTTATTTCATATATATGTAGTTTATCTTTTAACAGGCATTCGGCAAAATAACATATTTTGGTCCTTTCTTTTCATATTAATGATTACATTATCTTACCTTAATGGTAATGCAAAATAGGTCTTCGAAAATTCCTAACATACAAAATTACTTTCCATACTAACACCCTAAATATAAGAAATCAATAACAGCTTAACTTCTTCAACGCTTCAAGCTTTATTCGGGCTTGATGATGATGATGTCGTGTCTATGACAAAGTGCAATTTTATAGCTCCGAAGCTGTCAAAGACAACTTTTGCAACCTCGCCAGCTCTATCAGTGTAAAGTAGGTCCACTGAGTCTTCAATGCCGATGTTAAACAGTCTGGCCTGGATTACTGGGCAGCTGAAGACGTGATAGCCAGACAGTGGGATGTCATCTGGGCAATGAGAACAAATGTTGGTGTAACTACGCTGTCCGTCTGCAGAAGTCCTCATCCCTTTAAGTGATTTGTCCTAAGTCTGGTTATGATAGTCGATATGGCTCTGTCACAGTTCAATTCCGGGATGGAGTTTCCTTTAACTTGACCGATTTACTTCTGCAAAGTGACAAAATTTAGTGGAACAGCGTGTCTGTAGTTGCTAATATCATGATATATCGCCAATTTTGTATAACGGAGGCCAGCCAATAACTCCAACGTAGCTTCTCATTGCGCATGCATGAAGCATAAATCATGCTAGGGCTAGACGCTACTCATTCATAGAACACCTACAAAACCACATACAAGCATTTTAAAGACCTGAGTGAATGAATGGAAGATTCAAGTCAACATAGACAAAACTATAGAAATCATGGTCACCAAGAAGAAAATCATCAAACAACTTCTTAAGTTTTATGGTAACACTGTGCCCTGAGTTGAGTAGGCCACTTATCTTAGGATGATCCTTACAAAGTCTCTTACATGGTAAGCACACAAACAAGCTATTACCCAAATGTTTCGAGTACGTAAAGCTTAACTCTATCCCCTAATTTTTCGAAACAGCGTTCTATCTATTCACAACGAATTACTCATTTATAAATCCATTTTGCGTCCCATGTTTTATTACGCCTGTTCGCTCTGGGCCTAACCTTGTAAATCCTTATAAAAAAATTACAAAAGCGCAGAAGTCTTGTTCTCCGTGAAATTTCTAAATCACCATGATATGTACGTAATATTGCGATTCGTGAAGAGCTAAAACTTGCAGAACGTCGCACCTTCGACTGTCGTCTGGCCAAAATTTGGAATATGGTAACAGGTAGTTTGGCGACATTTTGGTAAGGCGATAAAGGTTACTAGGTAGGACTTATAATAAGCAATAATCTGAGAAGTACACAGTTCGAATCACAGATTATTTTGTCTCAGAGAGATGAGATCATAAGACATGTCATTGACATTTTCCAGAAAATTCCGATCGTGATTTTCTAATAAGCACTTAGAAACAATTTCGCTGCTAAGTGCGAATCGCCCACTTATTTGTTGGCGCTTTTACAAGAGTAATAATATATTGGATTTTGTCAATTTTCTTTGACTTTTTAAGTGGAAATAGGTCGATGTGTACATGATAAAGTCAAGCGCGTGCGCAATGCCATTTTTGCAATTCTTGGATGTTTTTAAGTGAAATAGGTCGACGTGTACAGGATACCGCTATGTGGAATTCTTAAAAAGCGAAAACAGTGGCTGATTCTGCACTTTCTCTCAGTTTCGCATCTAGTCTTCGTCATATTAAAGTTTGTTCCATAGTTCCATAAGCGTAATTCGGCTGGCAGATTGTTGGAAAAAATGTTGAGTTAAAAAAAAAAAAATGCCTTTACTTCGTGAAAACAAAATGGTCCCCCCTTCCCCCCCCAAAAAAAACTACTTGTTTGCTGCAGGAGGATTGGTCGCCAAATTTTCACCAAAAAATCGCCAAGTTACCATAATCTGAAGATTCACCCAAAATTTTTCATATTAAAATGCGAAGCATTCCTAATTCAGAAGTAAGGATTTATAATTATAATTATTACAGCACAGAAAACAATAAGAGGCCAATGGCAATATTAAATCTCAATATTGTGGCTTAAATATATTCATACCACCCGTATTGTACGTATTACTTCATTACATTGTATTATAGTAATTATTTATATGTAATAAGTTCTTTTTATTGGCACTGAGTGATTGGTACTTTCTTTATATATTATTCATCAGCTCAGCAGCTTTCTATGCACTAGACGGTCTTCTCTAGAATTTTTATATATTTAATTACAGTATCAAAATTATCTAAAAATATTAGCATTAAAAAATCTTGTTAAGATCTTTGATCTAAGTTAATAATGGAATCTATTCACATTTTTTAACTGTATTCCATTAGGGGTAGGATCTCGCACCCAGGCACCATGGTGGCTAACCAAAGCCCTCTGAACAAAGAGCATCTATGTACAATACATATTCTTTGCTCCTGAAGCTTGTTATCTTCACGAGGTTTTGGTCTAACTCCATTCTTTCCAAGTCTAGGAGGTGAAAGAATGTTCTGAAATACAACCACTACAGAAGATAGCCAGTCAGGGTTAAGGAATAGGGTTCAAATTCTTTGGTTTATTCTGACCTTAATAAAATGGTACTGCATCAACTAGGACATGATTTTTAACACTGGACGCGTCAGAGCCTTTTAGAAAACCATCAGGCAAGTCAAAGAAAAATTAATAAAGGAAATAACTATAAATTAAATAAAATGCTAAAAGAGAAATAAAAGTATTATAAATTAATGATAATTAGAAAAATCATAAGTTAAACTAAATTAATGTATTCTAAGACGAAGTAAATAAACAATGGAGTGACTGAATTAATTACAACGGATATGGTACATCAAAGATGAAACAAATGTTTTGAGCAATACTTTTGAAGACCAAATAAAATTGTTGCCTTAATTTACCTTCTAATTTATTTAAAGCCTTTCTAAAGATTCTCAATAGGAAGGATTTGTTCCTAAAATGGTCCTACATTTCTAAACTTGGCTGTTCCAAAAGAAAAAAAAAAAAAAAAAAGAAAAAAACTGAAAGCTTTCAGATTTTATATTACAGCCAAAGAGACTTTTTTTAACCTTTATTTATAAAATATCATGTTCTTCGCACTTAAACCATATAATTCATTTTAATAGTAAAATAATTTTAAAAGACCATAACTTTAAAATTTCCGATACACAGTCTCGCGCTCTGGAGATAAAAAATGGTTTTTATTTATTATTTTCCCTCGTATAATGTTGCCATTGCTCACTTTGAAATCGTTGGGTTTGTTAATCAAAAATTCATTAAAGTTTTACAAAATATGAAATAGATAATAAAACAAATTCCAAATTTTTGCTTTCAGATGCCCCTATTCGAGAAGAGGCTATGTTATTCAAAATTTGATGGCTGTATGTACTGTTTTTTTTTTTTTTCACAGAACGAGAAACATACATACATTCTGACAGATTTCTTCATTATTTAATTTCTTTAAATATAATGCAGGATTCTTAATATCTGTGGAAACAATTTGAAAAGTGAAACGCCGTTTATAGTGAACCAACGCAAAATGTCAAAACGAAATCAATACCCCTTCTAGCAAATTGCCCCTTTGGGCTAAAAGAAAAAATGCTGATGTGTACACCACATGACTTCCTAGTACAGAATATTAAATTATATGCATATTTTCTTGCATTTCATTTAAACTTATTGGATTGAATTAAATCTACTTGTTCGATAGCGCATAAACCACAATAGAATAAATGCACTCTTTAAAATTCACTATATTTGTTTACCATCGTGACATTCTGGCGCTAGGTTCACGCAATAACGTTACATTTCATTCATTTTGTAACTCAGAATGCACAAAATTTATATCATCTGAAGAATTAGCTAATCGTTGCCACATGTTCTACGCAAATAATATAATAAATATAAAACGATGTATAAAAGAAATTAAACAAACAATTTAAAGAAATAGTTTTTCACAGACGATTCAGTATTTCTCATTTAATTCAGTTCTCACTTCGCGACAAGGCAAAAATATATAAAAACTCAAAGTATCTATATTAAAAATTACGAAGTAAATCTTAAAACACTTATTTCCTCGAAAAAATTCCAGAAAGAGTTAAGCAGGATATAATTTGCAGTAATAAATGAAGGCCTTATCTTCGTTGTTACGCTGCTTAGTCTCTCTAGATCAGCAAGAAATCCACCATTCTGCTAATTTTCAAATGTAAACAGACATGGCCGCCATGGTAAAAATACTTAGGCTCAGCCGCACTTAAAGAATTTTTTAAATTGTTGATCATTCTACCAATATTGCATGCAGATTTACTAAAGGCATCGAAACCTTAACCGAAGGATAAGAACAACATAATTCAATCATTTTTAAAGCAAAAAATGCACATTTTACAAACATATAAGAATAAAGAAACTGAGCTCACTGAGCCCA